GTGCGGAAAAAACTGTTTCCATAAAACTTACCGTTACATCTACCCAACTCAACTATAAACTGATGAGACCTTATTGCCAGTCTAGTCCTGCACTTAAGTTCATAAAGTCTAGGAAGCATAGCGAAGCGCTCATCCGAACAATTACTATGAAAGTATTGATAGAAAAGCTACAGGGATGGGAGGCAATATTATGGCGGCGGGAAAGTGTCGGAAGCAGAGACGCCAGATCAGGACCAATAACATTGATGATTCATTTTTGGATTTTACCAAGAATCTTTAAACAGAAAGCAGGGACACCGGGCCATATGTGGTAGCAATATTTGAGATATAGACAAATGATAAACTGATAGATATTTAAAATAGATTCTGGAAAGAAAGATTGTCTAGCACGACACAGTGAACCAATTTCTTTGGCAGAAGAACTAGCACTGTATTCATTATAGTTTTTTCATTTCATGTCAGCTGAGAAAAGTTAGCCTGAGAAGGCCCAATCGAGTCAGTCTCCTTAAGGTTAGCATCGACTATGTTGATGGAAAGCAGAAATGGGTATATTTAGCAATTTAGTTTTGGAGGGGTTAAAATTAACAAGACATTCCTGCCCCAGTTAACAACAGATAGAAAATCAATGCTGCTATGGGTTGAACATCTCAGAACCACATGTTCAAAAACAAAGTCACCTGAAAGTTCCGGGTGATGCAAAACTTTAGAAATCGACTACCAACAGATTATGGCGAATAGAGGTTTCCATTTGAAGGATGTTATTTTTAAAAGCAAATTAATAAAAACTATAGCCGTTTGTTTAAACATCAGTGAAATAACATTTTTAATAACAGCTACATTGGTCTTTTTGTCAACCTTTAAAATCAGGGAGGTATTTCTGCCGCACACTGTCTGAATAAATACTATGAAAATGTTCCTTTTTAACGCCATTATAAACTTTTGTATCACCCACCGATTATTTTTAGAAAATAGTTTTTTCTCCAAGGTGTGCAATTCTAACTGAATATTAAATCTCTAGTTTTAATAAAAGTGCGCTGGAAACTTTTGCACATTCCTAAAACCTAAACAAAGTGCGATGGGTAAATTGTCGCCGTTTTAATTTTTAAATTCGCGCATGCGCGTTTTTTTTTTAAATTTTATTTTGTAGACTGCACAGTATAAGTAGGGTCACTTGGACACTGTGAGAAAAAGAAAATGACGCAATTCACTCCACCAGAAATTTTGAAAAAGGCATGCTTTACTGCTTGGCATTCGCACCGGAAACTCCAATACGAACATTTCAAAGTGTTAGGGTGTCAATCAGTGCAGTGGATTCGGAAAATGTTGGATGAGTCTAATGGTGGTTACGAAGGTACAGCAGTTCGGTAAACTCACTCTGGTCGTTCTGATAAGAACAGAACTTCCGAATTTGCCTCAGACTAAACACAGAGGCCTACGTTATGTGCCTTGAGGAGGTAGTACTGCCCTGATTCCAGAGGGTGGCTGCTGAAAGACCCAATGTCTGGAAACGGGACTCTGCAACATGCCACACACACACAGGAGAACACAGTCCTGGCTGTCGGAAAATTTTTATGCACACAACACCCATTACATCTGGCCAGACTTGCAGCCCCCTTGATTATTAGGTTTGTGGTACAACTGAACGTGAGACCGACAAAACTCCTTTTAACACGAAAGATGAATTGAAGGCAAAGACTATGTCAGCATTCATCAAGTTAAACAAGGAGACCGTCCAGAAGAGTTGCAGGAGATTCCGACGTCGTAAGGAGGCCGTGGTTAATGATAATGGTGATTTTATTGAATAAATTTACTTCTTAGTACTTCAAGATATTTCTCTGTAATTTTGGTAAATATATATGATAAAATGAGATGTCAGCGTTATTTTTATTTTTGTGTAAGTTAGCCGACAATTTATTCATCGCAGCCTCTATTCCCAGCCCAGACGAAAGAGAGTTCTACCTTTTAGTAATATTCATTATCTATGCCGTAATCTAGCACAGTACCAAAATGGTGGTAATAAAAACAAGAGGATTGTACTGGCCCAATATTTAAAGTGGAGTGCCTTTGTAAACCAGTGTTCAAAATTATGATTTTTCTTATACATTTTAAACGAACACCGACGACTGGAGATTCTGAGAAGTATAGGGTGTTCCCCAAAAACGGGAACTTATTAACAATCTGATAAGACCAAGAGTGATGGAAGAAAAATATTTTATTTATAGTATTTGAAACCTTAAAACATGCCATTTAAGAAAGAATGGAATTTTCATTCTTTAAAAATTACGTCTTGTAGATGGCGTCCTCCTGTACGAATGCATTCTTGAAATCTGCTGTGGAGATTCCTCATTGACTACTGCTAAGGCACGCTGTTGTCCATTCCACTGATCCATGGTAACTAAAATGGCGAAATGTTTACTTGGTCAAGGTCACTGTCTCGTAGTGTTGCCACTTGTTCATATCTGGCAATACGCACTTCAAAATTTCTCGTTTTTTGGGGTCA